CGATTTTAATTGGTCAATCAACAAATAGCATGGGTTAAAATTTTGTGTTCCCTCCTGTTAATTTTGTGTTCCCAGAACGGTCTCTCCTGTTTACCAAACCCTTTTAATTATTAACATATTGCCAAGGGGACGCCTTTGGAATATAAATGGTTACATTAACAGATCTTTTATCCAGACTTCAGGTTGTAAGATAAAGAGTTATTGGCTGTAAATTGGAAGTTTTAAGAAAATCAGACATGTTTCATAGGTAGGCTATTCTAGACTAAGGGTTGTAAGATAGTGAAATCAACTGTAAATCAGAGGTTCTAAGAAAATCAGACATGTGTTGATATTTGGGCTTAGGGTCAGTAGGCTATAATTCAGGGGCAAAGTAAGGCCAGCCATGTGTCAAACATAATAATTACCTGGTAAGTGAGTAACTCGGATTGCACACCTGCAGTAGTATTGATGCTACTGCTCATTATAGTTATGATTAAGCCCAAAATGTTCATGTGCCACATTCTGATCAACAGGTAAGTAAGTTTAATTATCTTAGTCCATGCAAAGTCCATTTATTTGGTATTCAAGATGAAGCAGTAAGGGAACAAATCAATTATGTTCTTAATGAAGATGAAATTATAGGTAAAGGTCCTGATGGTATGCTTAGTATGATCTTTGATGGAATTCAGAAATTGAACAAAGATGAAAACATTTAAAGATCACCTGTGATAATGCTAGTGGACAAAAAAATAATAATAATACTATTTGATTTTATTTATATTTAGTAATTTGTGGTTATTATGAAAGCATTGAATTGAATTTCATGATTTCTGGACATACTAAATTCAAATGTGATGGTAAATTTGGCATGATTAAAAAACCCTATAGAAGAACAAGAGTAGATTGTCTGGATCATGTGGTTTCAATGGTAAAAAAGTCTAGTCCAGCTGGATTAAATGAAGCTCAGTGTTATGAAGGTGGAAAAGGTTTTCAATAAAGCATATTTTTTTTGAATCAATTAGAGGTTGGAATCGACTAAAAATAGTCAACTAATTTAATCAACTAACTTTTTTTTAAAACAACTAATAGTCGACTACTTTAGTTGTTTATTTAGTTGACTATTTTAGTTGATTATTTAGTCAACTATTTTAGTCGACTATTTAGTCGACTAATACTAATTATTATTATTGTCTGGCCAATTATAAATGAAAACGTTTTTTGTGGTACAAAAAAATTTAAAAATAAAATAATGGAAAATAATAAAATAAATATGTGGAGTATCAATATTATGAAGAAGATGATAATGGTGGTGTTGGTGCTGGTATTGGCGATAATTATCCATGCGAAATAATAAACATTGATACAAGGTCAAATCATTCCAACAATTCGTTGGCTTCGAGCTCAAGCAGTGGTTCCAGACCTTTAAAAAAACGAATTATAACATATAGCTTCGTATGGAAGTATTTCGAGAAAATTAAAGATTCAAATGGAGATGAATTTGTAATCTGCAAATTAAAAAAAAACGTTAATAATAATGAAACAGAATGAATATTCTAATTAAATAGGATGTTATTCCCGTGATTAGTGTGTGACCATTTTGCGAAGCAAATGGTTACACGCTAGTATTAAAAAAATTTAGTTGACTAAAAGAAATTTTGACCAACTAGTAGTCGACTAAGGATTTTTTGGACGATTCCAACCTCTAGAATCAATTATTAATATTTATTTTACTTTTTAGGTGAATCTCATTACTCCAACAATAAAAGAGAAACATTGATAAGAATTTTTGATGTTTTTGAATCCAATTTAAAGGAAAATTTCAAGCATAAATCGGATTATTTAAAAAAAGCAATATAAAATTTTTTGGTATTTTTTGTAATTACTCAACACTACCATATAATTCTGGTTCTTACTTGTGCAATGATCGAATTGAACATAAAAAGTAAGTTTAATGCTTATTACTTTTATAGGTGAAAAAACTGTTCACTATGTTGGCTATCAATTTCAACACATTAACAGATCTTTATCATGATGCTAAGGATCTTGATAACGGTTTGTGTGTCATTTTACCCTTTGGTGAACTTGGAAGAGGCGATACTCTTTGGTTTTTTTAATCATAAGAGTTGCTTTCCTAACAATTGAGGAAAAAAAATTTTAATATTTGTAATTATCTTTTTTTATCTTATAGCTGTAAATTTTTTATCCTAATCAAAATTAGGTGATGTAAATATACATAAAAATTGTTCAAATAAAGAGATACAAACATGAAATTAAATAGATCAAGCTTTTATATTACAAATTTTTTTTTTATATATATAGCAAAGACATTGAAAAAAAAATTAGTAATAGATAAACTTTATAAACAAATGAGATGGGGCAAAAGGCTCTTTGTAACTTTATTATAGAAGACTTAAACAATAAAACCATAAAAGTTTCATTCAATTTTATTATGAAAAAAAAAAGTTATTAAAGTAGTAGGTTGTAATCTTTAAAGATTGCAACCTACTTACGTTAGACTGTTATCTACTTATGATTAGTGATGATAAGTTCATGTTTCTGTCGTCAGACCAAATATGATGGTGGCGAGCTTTCGCCATCAGGCTACATTCGAACATTCATATATCAGAAAGACAACCTGAGAAAATACAGTACAAAATGTTAAAATAAAATTAGCATGTAATTAATCAATTTTATATTTACATTGCGTCAAAGTCGAAATTACCCGAATTAATAATGCTTCTTCATTTTCAATAATTGTAGATTTTTTATCACGCCTTCTTGTTGTGGTATCGTCCTATGAGATAAAAAATGTTTTCCACATATCTAAAGGTTGGCCTACAAACTCCTAAATTGCGACCAATTATGACAATTGGAAATGGATGTCTAAATATATTTATGATATTAACGACACATCAAAAAACAAATCAAACCTTATAAGAGCCGTAATAAACGAGACTTTTTTCTTGACCCTTGTGATCAAAAATCATAAAGATCAATCTAACAAGGTATTCCTGGACAAATTAATCAATAAAAAATAATATTTTTTTTAATAATAAATTATCATACCAGAATTGTTTCCCGGATGTTATTTTGGTTATCATAAAATTTAGAAAGTTCCAACACCTTTGAATATTATCACTGAAATAAGATATTCCTTAATAAACTATACTTTCTATATATATTTTTTTGCTTTATATATGCCATGTATATTATTTTCTAATAAAGATAATAAAAACCGAAGTTAGAAAATACTATAGTGCAGGACATCTATAACGGTCAATGATTATCACATGATTTTAAAAGCTTATAACTCCTTATTAAAAAAATTAAAAAAAAAAATAAACCGATAAAATTAAAGCTAAAGACCTAAGCTTCATTTCCATCGGTTTACTTTTTCATTTTATTAGAAAAGTTTTGAGTTATAAGGCTTGAAAGTTAGAACATTTTATATATGTCTATATGTAAATTGTAAAATTTCGGAATGATATTCCCTTGTGGTTTCCTAAAAGGTTGATGATCGGCTTAAAAATTTTCCGTGATACAGACAATCTTTCCAATAAAAGGAATATGATTACTTAAATTAGAAAGATCTTCTAAAATTTTAAGTTTCGGACTATTGACCATTATAGATGTCCTGCACTGTATTATGGTACATGTCATCTAGTCGAATTGTTTTCTTTATGTCGTACAACATAATCACATTTATCACAAGTGATCGTCAAATTGTGATATAAAACGAATTTCTATCATGATCATTGGTATAGGAATTGATATGATCCATATACCACGTATTTATAGATTAATCAATAAAAATAGACCATTAAGATTGGAACAACAAAATCAACATCAATCACCAATAATAACTTTTGAAGAAAGATTTTCAAAAAGAATATTGAATGATTATGAATTGACACAATTAAATAACGAATTATCATCATTACCATTTGATTTTTTTAACGGTAACAAAGAATTGTTTTATAACCATGTTTCTAAATTTTTGGCTGTTAGGTAAATTGTTTGTTGAATCTTTATGAAATAATTTCGAGAATTAATATTGATTGATCGATTGATTGATTGATTAGTTAATTAATTAAAAGATGGGCATTAAAAGAAGCAACTTATAAAGCAATTTACCCAATGTACAAATTAACATGGAAAGAAATTACTATCAAGAAAATTGAAGGTTTTATCATTTAATTAATTTTAATTAATAATTCAATTAATTTTAATTAATAATTCAATTAATTAATTTAATGACAAAAATTAATTAATTAACACAAACTAATTTCAACAGGTGCTAAACCAAGTGTTTACTTAAATGTCAATAACAACAACAACAACAATAATAACAATGACATTATTGATTTTATTAAGACAATAAAGATTCATTGTTCAGTTTCTCATGAAAAAAATATTGTTATTTCTCAAGTAATTATTGAAAAGTGAAAAAATCAGCCAATATCTTTATGGGATCACTCACAAGTCCATTGTTTGGTACATGTTAATTCATTTCATAGCTTGGATTCTCTCACATCTTCACTCTTTTATACTTGGTTGTTCATTAATTTATTCAAATGCACCAAAACAATTCTTTTAAAATATGATTTTGTTTTTTCAATTATATCTTTCAATTCTTGTAACATTTCCATGATATCGTTAGAATGTTTAGTAACAATAATCATCATTAGTTGTCCTAATTTTTGATTTTCTGGTTTTTGTTCAATATTAAAATCCAAGTATTTTAAAAATCTTGACAATATCTCTTCTGGTTCATTCAATAATTGGAATTTTTGACTAAAAATAGAAATGTAAATGTCAATCATGGCATCATCCCAATCCTCAAAACGTTTAGAAACACCTTCATCTTCGCCTTCGTATTGTTGTTGCTCTAAATGATTAGGCACAAGATCTCTAAATGATTAATCAGTTAATTAATTAATTAATAAAAATATGTATGTGCTTAAAAATAATGATATTGTTGTTGTTGTTTTACTTTAATAAATCAATAATAGAAGATTCATTCATTCCTCCTTGTGTAATTGTACTAGTAATAATTTGCAATTGTAGTTGACCTTTTTCATATGTGTATGTATAAACATAATATAAGTGTGAGAGTATATATATCGTTAAAATTTTTTTTTCAAAAATCAAATAAGATACCTATTTCAGGAGGTTGTTTGATTAACGGTAAAAGTAATCCATATACCAATGGTTTACTCTTGATATGAGCAATTTTCAAAATTGTAGACAATAAGTAACGTGAAGGACTTGATTTCAGCATACATAACTAATCAAATACATTGTCATTGTTATTAATTAATACAGTAAATAATAATAACAACGAATTAAAACAATAAAAATACTTTTTCTAGAAGGATCCATTTTAATAAAGCCACATAAGTTTTATAGGTAATATCATTATATTTTATAAGTTCCTCACACATCATAATAAGAATTTCTTCATCAAATTTTGATATTTTCAATTCTTCACAGATTAGAAGAAGCTAATAATTCAATAATTTGTATATAAATACATATAAATAAATATAAACATGTCAACTGATTTATTTATTTTTACCTGAGCATATGGAATTCTAATAAAGTTTTTGAATTCTATCAAAAACTCTTTAATGTCTTCCTCATGAATATGATTATTATTATTTTTTTGAATTATCTTTTCAATTTTTGATCTTAAATTTTCTTTTAATGTTGTTATCTCCACACCACCTGTTGACGTAGCTTTTGATGTAGCTGGTGGTGTGACTGTTGGTGTTACTAATGTGGCTTTTGAATTACTTGTTGATAAAGTCGTTGAAAGTGAAGGTGAAGATGGTGTTAATAATGATGTTGATGTTTCTGCCCGATTTTTTATTTTATTTTAATTAAAATAAAACCCAATAAAATTCTTAAATATTTTATATTATTCTATAGAAAATACAAACTTTTTACCTGAATCCTTATCATAATCACTTTTAATTTCAGATTGAATATAATTCAACCTTCTCTTAATATTTCGACGTGATGCTATATATTCTTTAGATACGTGTAAATTTTATGACAAAATAATAAATATATGCATATTTCTGTAAGAATAGAAAATACTTGGAAAAAGAAAATCATTATTTAAAAAAAAATTTTTAAAGAAGGATATAAATATTGGTTCGTTATCAATATCAATTGGATTTTTATCAATAAAGTCTTCATTAAACGCGTTATTTAATGCTATGTAAATAAATAAAAAACAAATAGATGATAATAAAAATTATTTTTATTTTCTTAATTTTCTATGATTTAATAATAATAGTAATAGTTGACATATTACGAATTATTTGTTTTATTTCATTCCTAAAATTTTTCCATTCTTCATAATTTGTATCAAATTTTTTGAAAAAGCTTTTAAATATAGGATCAAGAGGGAATTTATTTTTATTTATTGAAAGTTCAATTTGCCATTGTTCTCGTAAATTCAAATTATTAGTATAAGTTGTTTGTTCATTAGATAATGACGATGAGTCAAGTGATGGATTTGTTCGTGTATTTTCATTTACAGAAGAAGTTTGTAAAGGCATCATTTTTTTTTAAAAAAGTTGAGAAGAGCCAACGTCACACACAATTGTACTACTAACATTAACTGCTTCTCGTCCATTTTGTCAGAGATAGCATACAAAATAACGAGTAATTAATCTCTTTATTGTTATTGTAAAGATATTCTTGATGTCTATTATGATCTATAATAATGGGTGTTGATATGGGAAATGATAAGGCTTTAATAATTTTTATGATAGTAGAATTTCTAGTTTCCATGGCGGAAGGGTACAAGCTCGCCAGCAGCAGAGCAATAGCAGCAAGAACATTAATATTATTTTATTATTTTCTTGGATATGAATATAATAATTTTAATAATAATGATAATAATGATAATATAACAACAGTAGTAAATACAGTCACTGGAAAAAAGTATCGCTTCACCTGATGATCGGCGAAAATAATTGAATAACTCCTGTGATGTTGTGTAATAACAAAAAAATCTTTTTCATAATAAATTCTATAACATACTCAAGTTCCATAAGATTCAATTAATTATTGGTAATTTTATAATCTTTAAAAGACAAAAAAAAAATTTCTGGAAATTTTCCAAAAAACTTTAGATTAGATCCAACTTTAGATGTCATGTTTTAACACATTTTGGGAGCTTAGTAAATGTTGTTTCTTTTGTCTTCAAATGTATAATT